GGGGGAGGGTGGCGACAGAGATAGTTGGAGAAAGAGCGAGAGGGAAGCGGGAGGACGAAGGGGGAAAAGGGGACGACAGAGACAGGGACCGAGAGGGTGAGAACGAGATAGCGGGGGTAAGGGGAGGGTCACGTCGGCATCGGCTTGACAGGTGACAACCGATCGGACCACTGACGTCACAGATCACTCGGTCGAGCGCGCGCGCACGCACGCACGTAGCACGCACAGACACGGCTGCACGCGAATATCCGCGTTCTACGCGGACGTGGCGTAAAAAGTCGGCAGCCGCGACGACTCGCACTCGCGTACACCACTGTGCACCATTCGACACACGTCACGTTCGACATGTCGCGGCGCGTGAAAGAGAGAAAAAATAAACGGGGTGATTTCGCGTCCTCAGCGGGGAGACGGCCAGAGAGCCGCGAGGCGAGGGAAGGACGACGAGATCGGCGGACGGCGTAAACGAGGGAAGAAGGCGGGAATGAGAGCGCGAGACTCCATCCGTTCAGAACGGATGGAGCAGGGAGAGAAAGAGAGGACTTTCGGACGCGGGTGACCGCGTGTGGGATCGCGAGGGCGATTTTTCGCGCGGCGCGACTTCCACCCGCCACCGAGTAACCGCGACGTACGACTTTGATATTTTTTTTGGATATTTTACCGGGTGTTAACGCCGGCCGATGGTCCCCGCGCGCGGCGCCTCTCTATCTGGTTACCATTACACTCGGATGTATGAAATGCGCCACGGGCATACAACCATCCCCCCACAATAGCCCTATTTATGATTGGGCAAAATTGCTTTCCATGCGCAGAATAAAATCTCGCGCGCGGGTCCAGGAAAAATCCGCGGGGCGCCGCGACGGGAGGCCGCGCCGCTCCTCGTCGCGGTCGCGCGTCCGTCGCGTTTCCCCGACGACGCGCGTCGCGTCCGGGGGAAACGCGGGCGGATCGTCGCACACGGCGACGCGACGCGCCCGCTTGTCGGCGTGCGGCGCGTTTCCATTTTCCGTCTCAATTTTTCTCCGCGATTCCCACGGGCGGGCCGATAAATTCGCGGAGAAATTAAACGCGGTCCGCCGCGGCCGCGCGCACGCGCGGCGCCGCGATGGCCGCTCGGCTCGGCCAATCGCCGTCGGCCGTGAGAAGTGGTTCCGGGAAACGCCGCGACGAACCTCAGCGCGACGCGTCAATGATCGGGATAATCGGGAATAGGGTTAGAACGCGATGTTTTCGTGTTCCGACTTCCGTGTAATTTCACGAAATTCCAGCTTTCTGCCCTCATTCATTCGTCTCGTCTGTACTTTTCTGTGTTTATTCCTCGATCTCCAAATCTGTCAGTCTTTTATCTTGTGGGATTGTATCGTAATATAATATTCCATAAGGTTATAATCGTATCGCGTACCATTTAATTATTATAAATATGTAATCGTTTATCCTTCGAACGACATGTGACATTTTTACCATCAAATCCATGGATCGAAGAAAGAGATGTGAACTTATAAGTGACTGTTATCAATCATTTATTACGCACGTATATAATGACATTTAATCATGCGTTTGTCATCACGTTGTTGGAGGTTTTTAAAAGGCTTGGGATATTAAACTAATCTTATCTCCAGTTGATACCAGACTGTCCCAGTTTGACACAAAACTTCTGTACTCTATTATCTTTTTTTTTCTGAATTTTTCTCCTCTCTTTAAACAAGGGACTTTCCACTTAAACTTTCCTCTTCAAACGTGGAATCTTCCTCACGTCTATTTTTATCAAACAGGTTAATTTTAATCTTGGTTTAATTTGCCTTTCATTTTTTTTTCTATTCTTAAAACTAGAAAAAGATAAGCAAATTAAACCTGGAGTTAAAGTTAATCTACGTTGGTAGAAATTAGAAATGGAATTAATCGAAGAATATGCCATGCGAAATGATGGATCTTTCAGTTACTATAAATCATTCACACGGACACACGTGTCATCTTTTTTTTTATATGATATTTAACGTGTCAATCCTATCCAATTTTAGGTTTTTTTTACACTTAACGTATAATCCTTTGTTACGTTTTAAATTTTAGGTTAAGTTAAGTTAGATGACAAACTGGCTAGACAGCTGTTCAACATAGAAATCAAGTTTTTTTTCAACAATAGGTGCTTTCCATTTATATAAAAACTCAGATGATTCTCACTTATTGTGACGTCGTTCTATCCTTTTTGACAATTAATGAATATATAAAGACAGAGAATAACGTCAAAAGTGAGAATTATCAGAGTTTTGATGTAAATGGAAAGCATCTAATAATTCTTATTACATTGTAATTACACCTGACATCTGTAAATAACTGCATATGAGAAATTAACAATGGAACATCGGAGCTAGTGGACATCACAATCGATTGTCCAGGTCAGTTCTGACCGCGACGCGAGCTCCCCCGTTCCCTCCGTTCCTCCTTCTCGGACGCAGCACAGCTGGATCGCGCTTATTCCTTCCCACAGCCTTTTCATCCCCGAGAGACCCCAGTTGCCGACTCGTCGTATCAGCTGATGGTACGTGGCTTTTACTCTCTTCGGTTACGTTTTTGCAATTCTGACGAAGAGCACGAGCCTCGTCGAGGCTCGCCGTGCTCTCCGTAATCGCCATCCGGGATTCCGGGTCTCGGGCGTCGACCACCCCTCGGGGTGTGAGAGAGCGCGGTCGCGATTCCGGACTGAGCGCCGCCGGTAGGGTTGGCATCGGCTATCAGTCGCGCCGGTCGCGCGTCTCCGCGCAACCGATACCGCACGAGTCGCACGACGCCGCGAGCGGCGGCGGCGACGACGACGGCGAGCGAGCAGCGGGGTCTCTCTCTCTGCGCGTCTATAGTCTCGCGCGGGGTCAAGCCAGTTGGCAACAGACCATCGAGCGGGTCGCGCGCGCGCGAGAGAGAGAGAGTTCCGCGGCCGCGTTCTGGCACTCTCCTTTACCCTCCCGGCCGCTCCGTGCGCGCTCCGTTTCTTCGTCAGACGTTTTCTTCTTTTTTTCTCTTCTTCCTCCTTCGCGTGTCGCAGCGTCCGCGAGGAAGCGCGTCCCTCCGCGTGCAGGAGGAGCAGGAGCAGGAGGAGGAGGTGGCGGACCAGTGGTGATCCGGACTGATCGTCGTTGTCATCATCCGCGCGACGCTGCGCCGACGGTCGGCTGCCATGGGGCCCGTCGACGGGATCATTTGACCCACGGGAACGACTCCAGGCTCGTCGGTGGGATCGTGAGCAGACTCGCGTGAGCGCTACGAATCGGTAAACGAGCTTGTGTGCAAATTTCTCCATCGTCATTGTCATTATCTTTGTCGCCGTCGCCGTCGTCGTCGTTGTCATTGTCCGTGTCCGTGTCCGTCGTCGCGCGACTCTCCTGATTCCGTTCGCCCTTTCTCTCCCTCTCGCGCGTGTGTGCGTGTGACAGCGCTCGTTGTTTCACCCGTTCGTCCCCATTCCCGTTCCTCGACGTGAGCGAGGGCGCTCTCCCAAGAGAAAGCGTTTTCCTCCGCGATCGAAATCGTCGTTAACTCGATCGTGCGCTCGCCTCCGAAGCCGTATATACGTTCGTAATTTAAACGCGAAAACGCTCGTCGGCGACGTGCAAGTGCCTCGATCAAGGCTGAGACGTTGCAACGACGCGGCGACGTTAGTCGCGGAATTTATTATTAATCGGCACGCACTTGCCTGCGAATTTCGTCATCCGCGAGAGCCGAGACGAGACGAGACCAACGGCGCTCCTTTAAACTCTTCGAAACCCGAATTTCAAAGTGTATACATATATATGCTACTTTTTATCAGATTTGGACGCTCTCCGAGGTAAATCCGGCGCGGAAGACTTTCTCCTTGAATCCCGTAGATCTCCTTTCGACGATCCTCCCGAGACTTGATTACCTTAATAATGGCTGACGCAAGCGAAAAAAGAACGTGTGCATCTCTCGGAGCGCGTCTGACAAATACGGGCGTTGTGTCACGTTCCTTGGACATATCCGTGGCAGACGTGCCACAGCGTCGCGTTCCAGCTGTTCGTGACAGCTAGGAGGGGGTACGCTTTGTCCGCTCGTCGCTCTAGCCTGACGGCTGATTGTTATTTGTCCCCTCGGCAGTGCCCTCCTTCGGCTTTGGTTTCTCGACTGGATTTCGCATGACGAGCAGAGAGGAGAGGGCGAGAGAGAGAGAGAGAACGCGTATTTCAACCCTTCTACCCCTACGATAGGCGCTTTTCTAGCGTGAGAAGAATACGAAACGTATACTTGCGTCAACGGCTCCAACCACGCTCGGATCCTCTTCGCGTTACGTTGAGAAATTGAATTTAGTAGCGGCTTTTAAAGAACAAGGAACACACATCTGTACATGCCGATGATCAAACAAACCTTTGTTCGTTACCTCCCTTTTTGCTCCCGATAGAATTTTTCCAAACAGCCCTCGCGTGCCTCTCTCGTCGATGTCAAAGGAGAACGTGGCATTCCGTAATTTTGTAAATGCTTCGAGGATTTTGTTTGAAACGCTGTTTGAAACACCTGAAAATTACTGGAGCGTATAAACATCGTTTCTTTTTCGAGTGTTTCTAAAATTTACGTCGCGTCGTAAATTTAAAAAGATTATTTAGAGAAAGCGAGATTTAATTAAATCATTTATAATACATCGGCGATGATGCTTCGGTCGACTTGAAATCGAGTGACTTTCTTGGAACGTGATAAAGAATCGCGCTCTGATAATATTAACATTACGCTCGAGACGATATTTACGAGACGTTATAACCGACTGTAGGATAACAGAAGAAATCGTTCGCTTTATTTAGTCGCGTTACGAATCGACAAAATGTCTTCCATTTGTTGCGTAAGAGAGCGGACGACCGCTAGATTTTAAGCTAGAATTTAAGTGCGTCGATCGATCTCTTTGTTTCCGATAGCTAAGCCATAGAGTGCCACAGACAAGTCTAAGAGCGAGTCGCGACCGCACTTAAAATCGTTTATCGAGATATTTGACAAATAGATCGCTGTTCGGGAGCTCGCTAACCGAGCTCCCGGCCGGGTCTGTTTAAGTCTCTTGGGCTTTTATGGCGATGCAGCCGCGGGAGAAGCGCCGCGCATCTCTTTCTCTCCCCCTGTGGGGCGAGCCGTGTGTCAAAACAACACGGGGGCGTCGTCTCAGCCGTTCGTTGAACCCAGCTGTTTTGGATGTCTACCTAAAAAAATTCAAGGTGACGCCCGCGGTGCACTTGCGGGTTTGGCCCCTCTCCCCCGATCGTCGTTCCTCACGCGAATCCCCGGTGGTGGAGTTTCGGCCACCACGCGATACGGGGGAGAAGAGGATCCGGAGCGGAGGATCGGAGAGCAAGATGAGATCTCCGTCGCGGTCTCTCGCCGAGCTCTTCGGCCCGGATTAGCTTCAGCTTCGAAAAAATAAACACGCGCGTTATCGAGTTATCTCGCCGGTACATTCGCAGAGATATCGCAGATGAGTTGTGTAAACATTCGAAAATTCGCACACATCTCCGTATCGCGCGCAAGTGGCAATGAAAGTGCAAAGTTTCGTATCCGCATGAATAATGTATCGCCAGCCACTTTTATAGTTTCATAACTGTACAACTGTATGAATATTACGGAGGTCCAGCTTCGGCGCGCGCGCTATTGATTTCGTTTGTGAATTCTAATTGATAATTAACGCGTCTCTTTGCGCAATTAACGTTTGTTTCGCTTTGACGCTCTCCGCCGAATGTAACAAACGCGATAGAATTCAACTCTAGATAAGGCGAGCCGTTCTCTCCTCTTTAGAGGAGGGGGAGGAGGGCCTTTCTGCAGCGTCGATAAAAGTAACGGCTAGCGTTCTCAGGGCGTTGAAGGAAAAAAGCGTCACGCGAGAAATCCGAGGTCTCGCGCGTGTCCACGTGAGTTAAAATTGCGAATCGGCCTTGGTGATGTGTGCCTATAAATACGAGGTTCGCTTATAGGCGACCCGCGGCCGAAGGTGCAGCGCGTTGCACCGTTGTCGTCGTCGTCGTCCCTCGGCAAGGCTGCACGCGCTAGGAAACGCGCTTGGTCTCTCTCTAGCTATCTCTCTCTCTCGTCCCCTGTCTTTTACAGATTACGTAAGGCCCCGCGATATCAGGAGACGCGCGGTAGCGAACAGAAATATACACGTCAAGATACTCCAAAAACACTGGCCTCCTTTCGCGGCGTTTATTGCTTTCACTACGAACCCCCTTGGCAACACGCAAGTTTTCATCGAATGAAAATTATATCGAGCCGCACTCGTAATTGTCGGACACGTGCTGAGCGCGAAGGTCTATGCGGGAGGTCTTTGTTCAGCAAGCGAGACTTTACGAAGAGGATTACGTATACGTTTTGTAGATTTTTAAGTGTAAAACTTGGGGCTGTGTGTAAAGATGCGCAATGTTGAAGATTGGAAAGATACGACGAACGGCGATCGCGGTGATCGCCTTCGGCGTTGTTGCTAAGGAGCAATCGAATCCGACTGTAGGAGCTATTGAGAGAGCACTCGGCGAATTCTAGGACATTTCCGTAGATTAGATAATTGAACTATGGATTATTACCGTTTCGTAATTTTGGAGCAGATTTCCTTTACTCTCCGGATGGATAATGAGAGGAATCGCCGCGAGGAATTTTTGCAAAAGGCTGATTTATACGACGGCGCGAATAGTTCTCTGTTGCCGACCGAATATAACCGTCGTATTATCGAAACGCATATATTTACAATTACTTTCATAGTCGTCGCTTCGTGCTGCGCACTCTGCGCGCACGTAGGCATGTGTTACCACGCGCAATCATGAAATTACAGTGGTGTTGGTTGCATAATATACAGGTAACCTAGATCTGCACCCACTGCTTCCCACCCGTTGACCCCGTTACCCTCTCCGGTCTCGGTTTGCCCTGCCTTCACAGGCAGAAAACCTTTATTCGAAGCCGAGATGGTTCCCCGCATCTCGGCGAGCCATCCGTCAGCCACGAAGCTTGATTGGGAAAGGCAGTAAAACCTGAAACACGAAGAGAGACTGTAGAAGGTTAATCTGTTTAGAATATAAGTCGTATAAGGTTTAATCCTTTCATACCTGACGCGGGATATATACATATGTCCCGGTCCTTCAAAAATTTTGTCATATCTTCCACAAAAATAAAGATAGCGATTTTCTGGGCTCATTTGGAAGATAAAAGATAGGACTTTTCGTAAAAAAAAAAAATCAATACCGTTGTGGGTCCCTTGTTCTGCATATCTCGTCAAATACTCATAAAATATAGTAAAAGTGAAAAATACATATATCTTTTACAAAAATTAAGATAGCGACTTAAAGTATATAATACATATATCTTTCACAAAAATTAAATAGCGAGTTCTTTCTGCAGGGCTTATTTTGAAGGTCAACGTAAGGACTATATGAAAAAAATCGCTACTTAATTTCTAAATGGCGGATTTACTGTAGTGGACCAAAATGCTAAATTTTGTTGTATTTAAATGTAAGTTGGTATATATAGGTTTTTGAGGTCGCTGATGATGAATCTGCAGTAAAAATTCCAAATTTAAGATAACGGATCCAATATGGTGGATAAAAATATTAAATTTTGTCGGATTTGAATAAAACTCATATTCCAGGGGTTTGAAAAACCACCCCTCTCCTTATTTTGACTGCAGATTCATAATCAGCGATCCTAAAAACCTTTCGTAAGACGTGAATTAGATGCTAATTATTCTTAGTAAAAATTCAGGCACGAAAGGATTAAGACAGGTGTAAATGCAGAAACAATGTTGAAAATATTTTCCCCAAAAAATGTTAAAATCAGAAAATTGTGCCAAAGAAAAGAGGAAATATGATAAACATTAAAAAAATTAATTTTGTACTCGTTCATGTAAATTTATGTCCGAACACAGCTGATCTTGTATGGAAAGAAGTGTTTTTCGCGGAAGGTGAAATGTCTTATAAAATATACTATCTAGCAGCTCTTAGGAAAGAAATCAGATCAATGATTCCTTTCTCTCCCCCCGAACCATCGAAACTCGCTTTCACCACGGTTTTTTTTTTAATTTTATTAAATCGCTGCGTTGCTAAACAGCCGGAATCGACTAATATTTATTTCCAGTTTCGCGTTCAAACCCAATCCACCACTTACGTATTTACGTCACGGAAACCCGTATACCGCTGTAACTTTTTACAACTGAATAAAGATACTCAGGTTAGAGCGAGCCGACAAGGTGCGTTTTGCGGACTCGTAATTGATCTAAATATTCCTGTTTAGATTTTTCAGTTTTCCGTCCTATTTAATTTTATTCTTACAATCAGTCGCCTTTGTTCCGTGCGCTAATAAAATCGTGCACCGTAAACTCTTGAGAGAATTCGGAATTTCGTTTAGAATTTTAAAACTTCACATTTTTCCGGAGAAGTTTACTATCATTATTATCGGATATTTGTCTTTCTGACAATCGGGACATAGGTTCGCCCGGAAACCGTGCTCCCCCTCACCACTTGGGTCAGCCGACCCAGTTTCGAGTTCTCGTGCGCTCGTGAAACGCACAACGCCCGGTAGATAGGCGCTTCGGATTTTCTTTTAGGTGACCTAGCTGAAGTAAGACATCGACTTCGTTTGAATTCTGTATGCAGGAAACTGGCCGCAGAACGCAACTGTAATCAGCTATGATTGAGCTACTGACTACCACGCGCAGATATTGAAGCTAAAGGTCAAGTCGGACGGCGATTATATTGTATTTTTCTTACATGGAAAATGTATTTTCGCGTATCACTTTGTGGAAACGTCGAGCTCGACCGTGTATATTTTCCGAATATTCGATCTGTAAAAACCGTTCAAAAGAAATTCTCGATCCGCTTCTCTTGTAATCCGATACCAAAGATCAAAACTTAAACGCGATATAACGACGAGGTTTTTTTTTCATCTCCAGGGGTTAAATGCGCGCCGCGAATACGCACGATATTCTTGTCGATAGTGCCGTGTATTTCGCCATCGTAAATGCCGACAAACCTACCGGAAGAGCGAGTTTATTTCTGGGCAGTCTTGAAAGCGTTCCTTTGCCAGTCGAAGAACGGACAAGATCAACGCATACGCCGCGCGCGTTGCTTCGAAATCTAACTTTCATTCGGTTATCAATAATTATTCCTTTCTATCGAAAAGTTTGATTGAGAAAAATGAGATGAATGCAAAATTCTCGCGAAATCAGAAAAAAATCGAGAAAAAAATCTCGCATATACGCGCCATTGGCGCGTCATTAACACGCGTCTGCGACAGCGAGACGTGTCTCTTTGTCATGTTCTATTTATTTCGAACTTTGTATTCCGCCCTTTATCGTTCAGGCCAGCCAGGGAGACACGTAAATGAAGATGACGGAACGATTATGTGTGACGTGTACTTCATACAAAGCCGAGAGAGAACCTTTAACGCCTTCGTTATCCGCATCCGCGAGCGTGCAACATCGCTTGCACGTTCAAAATAGGTAATAGTTCAAAGGATAATCCCTCGGCGCGGATGAAATCGCCTCAATTTAAACTAGAAACGCGTTTAACATATGAATCTTAAGAATTGATTTAACATTTGTGACGTATTCGTATTTTTCTTCTTTCTAATCGCGCGTCTATTTGCATCTAATATATAGCATCTCGTATCTCGACTTGAGGGAGGGGCTCGAACGAAGCTTGTCTCAAGGCACAGCCTTGAGTTCCGCTTCTCGCGGAATAATAGTTGAATAATGGTTTCTTCGAAGAAGATCGCACACAGGCTCCCTGAATCGGAAGACCTAACCCGCGCGTGATTCACGACCGGCCTCTTCTGACTCATAAACGAGGCCGTGCTCGCAACATCTGTGCGAACGTCTATGTCGAATCCACGAGGCGTGACACGCGTTGTTCTGTACGGCCCTGGGATCGCATATGGGTCCGGTCCGGTCAGCGCGAGCTGAAAATGGACGGTACGCTTCTCCGCGAGCGACCGTCTCGCGACGGCCCGCGGTGCGCGCTGGCTCGCCATGTTCTGACAGCGCGACGACGCGATCAGCTGTTCGCTCGCGCCCAGCTGTGAGCGGTGCGCTCAGCTGACGACGCCATCGATACCACGCCACGCCGCGCCGCGCCGTCCTCTCCCTCCCGCGCCGCCGGAACCTCCCTCCTCCGCGCGGACGTGCCGCAGGAACGGACGTGAGTGCCGCGTTGCCCACGTCTGCCAGTCCATTGTTCGCCGTTAATTCCGAAGAAGAATAAAGTTAGCGAGGTACCGAGTTATTTGCATTTACGCTAGACGTGTCTTATCAATATTTATATATTTACTTTTGAATTGAGCAAGCGTTAAATAGGCGCACCGACGAATTAAAAGTTACTTTCTTTATATGATAATTATAAAAATTTAAATCTCGTTTTTAAGCGAAGATTTAAAGTTAACTAAACTAATGAAGTTAAAATAATACTGTTTTGTGTTAAAATACTAAACTTTGACACACATGGTGGTTAACAATTACAAAATGTTATCTAACTCAAGGTATTGGTTCAAATTTCATTCTGTGTGCTATTAAATTGAGCAAACGTTAAAGGCGTATATACCAACAAATAAAAAGTTCTTTTCTAATTATGAAATAATTATAACAATTTAAATCTCGTTTCCAAGCGATCGCTTCGATCATTAAGGGAACTTTTGCGTGCGCGGTCGGGATGTCGAGAGAAACGCACATAAAAGTGCACCGCACGTATATAGATACGTGTCGCCCCGCTTTGTCTTATTTCGTCCGATAAGATTAAGAAAACGAAAAATCACGGCGAGACAGCCGGACGGCAATTGTTGGCTGGCGGGTGTCTCGTTGACGTAACGTGGGCAGCCGGCAGCGAGAGTGGATATTAAGAGAGACCTCGAGTTTCCGCTCGTGTGCTAGCTTTCCGTTTATGTAACGCGACGATTAAGCGCTCTCGCGCGACCCGACCCGTTCGATCGCGTGCGCACACACGACACGCTGAATAATTTTCTTTCGCTCGGCCCGAGACACATTCGCCTTTCGTCCGCTTTCCCGATAACGTATACGGCTCGTCGAAAATCGAAGGCGGCCTCGGTCGCTTCGGTTAACAATTTCTCGCGAACGCGCGCAGTAACGCGCAGGGCCGTAGCCATCAGAAACTAATCCTGGGGGGGGGGGGGGGGGGGGGGGAATCGATCCATTCTTTTCTCCATTATACTTCCTCCCTGCGTGTGTCGATCCTTTTTCTAAATATGGTGAAACGCGACTGTGCGTTAGTATACTTCAGCGAACGCTATCTGGTGCGGAAAGTATTATCTTGTTTGTCGATGGAGCGATACAAAAACGTAATTGATAAATCAATTGATGAAACTGATTACACTTATAATCGACAATACTCATCGCGAATAATTGCTCGAAATCGAGATAATGATATTTTGGGAGCACCTAAAAAAAGCGTTAATGAGTTGTTCGACTCGTTATTTACGCAATTGTATTATCTCACAAATTAAAAAGGATTTCTGCCTGTTAAATTGTGCGTTGCATCACAGTGTGTCATTAACATAAAAATGCTTTGCCTTGCTGATACTACAGTTATACAAGCCGTTGAACAAGGACGTATCGCTGTAGCGCTGCTGGTTCTCATACAAAAAACGTCGTGAAACTCTTTCTACGAATTTAATCGACGTCAACGATAATTTATTTCTTCTTTCTTTTTTAGCTACCGATATCGTAAAACGGTTGAATTTTATAATAACAAGAAACGCTTTATTTTCTCGTGTATTCATCGAAATTTGACCTCGTCGAGTTCGCAGTTTTCATCCCCGTGATTTAAATGTGTCGCTTAAAAAGGCGTTAAACGATCGACTCGTCAGCGAAACTGATCGCGAATCGGCGATGCACGAGTCGCATTGGCCCTACCGATGTGTTGTACTAACCGTTCGGGAAACCTGTAACCCGCCGTGGCAGGCCGCGAACTGCACCTTGTTTTCTTTCATCACGTGCACTACGCGCGGTGGGCTATAACCAGTCCTGCGGACGTGACACAACAACAAATTTAAAGGGACGACAAAAATCCAGGAGGCTCCTACGAGCCGTCTCGAGCACGTTGGCCCGCGCGTATTCCGAGATCGCGAAGCGATCCCGATTGCTTCGGCGATGAGCTTCCAAAAGTGACGACACTCTCGGAAGCTTCCTAAAAATAATTAAGATTTATTTAATTCAGCTAACTGGCTCTAATTGGAGGATAACGGCAGGTTGGGTGCAGTAGCGACATGAAGCTCACTTTTAATACTTTTATTTAATACTTTTAATACTTTTAAATACTTATTTAATGCTTTAACTTTAATACTTTAAATACTTTAATACTTTTAAATATTTTAATATTTTTAAATACTTTTCGAGAAGAATTAATATATGTATAATTAAATTTTATTCTTAATCTATATATACTTTTGTTAAATTCGTTTAACTCTTAATCTCTCTAATTCCTTTTTGCTCACTTCGATTTATTGCACCCAATATTTTGATTGAACAATAGACTTCCTTTCGCGATGGATCACAATGATCAACATCGGTGCTTCTTACATTACAGGTATGCACTGCCTAGGTGCGGTGACGGGAGGAGGCACCTCCAGCCCGAACGGGGCTGGCGGTCGGGGTGGTGTTCTTAGCGTGTTCCGAGCCCTTGGAGTCCTTGTGTGCGAAGGGAGAATCCAGGGCCCTCCGCGTGGCTATAAAGAGGGCCCACACTGCGCACCGCCTATGCAGGCGGTTCCAAACGACCACGTGTGCGAGGAGACCAACTATCTGGTACGTAACATATGGTGTCCCCGTTACTCTCCGTTGTTCCTAGGCGACCTACTTTTGCGCAGCTTTGCCAGCGGAATGTAAAAGCCATCGAAGACATTCGTTAGTTTACCAATTAAATTGAACAATCTTAAGTTTTACGTTGAAAACGCTGCACATGAAAGAAGATAACGTATTAGATTAGATAACGCATGTATTTGTATGCGAACTTCTTAAACGACTAAACAATGAAAATAATAATAAGCCATGATCACAAAAATCAAGGCTCACAAAGCCAATTATAAATGCAAAGATACGAATCGTAATTTAATTTTTAATTAAGAGATATGGAATTTATTTTTGGAAAAATGATAATATATATTCATTTATCATCAAAATATATGTTTACAAAAATTATTATGTGATTGTTGTACATATATAATAAGATGATTTGTCTTTCTTATCTTTTAGGAAAACATATTCCCCTACATTTTTCCTTTAATTTTTCAAGTGCAATCGATATCGAGTACTAATTCAGGACATCACGGAACGCCTCGCTGTTGGATCATACCTGTGCGTTGAGGTGCTTTTGTGCAGCGATTGTCCGTGTGGTTTGGCAAAGTCTACTTGCAAATATCCTGTATACCCCGTACCGTCCTTACCCATTTCACCATGGCAGAAATGTGCTTCGGAGATGTTATTGGAGTACTGGTGTATCTGCGTTGTCCCGAGCAAGTAAGTCGCGCTTTACTTTATTCTGTACTGTAAAGCACAAGTAATATATATCGTAAAACAGGATGTTTTAATCTTGATTTTATATCATTCTTAACTCGATATATCTATTCATTCTGGATTAACTTATCGTCTCTTCAATTTGATTTTTGAATCTCTAAACTTTAATAATATTCCGAAGTCTGTTTAGTATTTTTTGTGTCATACCTGTACCCGTATGTTGCTTTCAGGAGTCAGGAACCGATGAATTTTCAAGGATTATACCAAGCAGTGCGTTCACGGTTACACTTCAGCCAGGTTGCAGCGTGGTGGTCACGCAGCAACGGCGCGGCGCCAAGCTACATAGCGACCCGGATCGTATCGCACAACGAGGATAATCTCAGCAAGTTCCGAGAAACGTCGATGGAGCATACCTTTCCTCTGGCTGGTAACGGCGATGGAAATTCGATCAAGGTATGTAATATTATAAGATTATGTTACAAATGTATATAAATCGACTATGCGATCGATAAGATTTTGAAGTCAATGCAAATCGATTTATTGGCGTAAACTTCCGTTTTAGGTGACCATGTGGGCACTGCCGCGGATGGAGGAGGTGCCCGTACTCACGTGTTCACTGCACCCGAAAATAGAAAAGGACGAAGAGGATATCGCGAGGGCGTTAACGCCCACCAAGAGCATCTCGATGGGATCCGGCAGCACGCAAAATCCAGAGGGTCTTGTTTTACCTGGTAAGAAACTAATATTGACGTACGAAGATCTGATAATTATCGCGTTATCTTACAAAACGATTCTTATTTAAACATAAATGAAAAATATAATATAATATCGCTTTTTCCAATAGTTCTCGTGGACGACAGACTGCAAACCACTTGTAACAAATCTGGCAAACACGACTGTCGTTGCGAAGAGGAGGACACGTCCCCTCTGTCGCCTACCATCAGATCCAATGGTGAACGGAAACGTCGTCGATCGCTTCCCTGTGGTCCTGCGGAGAGTTTTTGTGTGTCCTCGCAATCGGCGCCGTTGCCGTACGTTCAGGAATACATGCCACAGGAAATAAGGGACAACACCAGCTCGAGCTTAACGAGAGGTTCTGCCGAGATAGCAAACAACAACCGTAGCGTTATGAGAATATCATCTTTTCAGAATAAATTAGAGAACAAAAACGAGGTAAGGACTCATAATAATCGGAACTCGGACCTGGAACGCTGCTTCAAGATCAATTTAAAAATCGAAGAACTTGAGGGCAACTTGGAGAAACGTTGCAAGCATACAATGACAGACGTCGCAGAGATTGCCAACTCGAAGAACATTGATCGGATCGAAGAAGGCTATAATAATTCCGCTAAGAACTCGACCAATCTCGGAAGAGAACACGGTGGCTCCTCATATGCGGATATCATTTCTGCAAAGAGTGGTGGCATATTGCACAATCTCAGTCCTTTTGCTCCCACCAGCTGGTCCTTCGTTTCCTCTTGGCAGAATAGCAATATGAATAGTAAATTTCAAAGTTTCCGCGGTGCGAAGGAAGCTCGTTTCAACGATTCCGAAAAAAATTACAAGCTGCCGACTGTCGGATCCAACCACCCTCCGATCAATCCCTACGCACAGCCCAATCCCTTCCACGAGTCAAATCCTGGACCTTCGACGCATAAATGGACGCAAAAAACACTAGACAATTCTGCTTGCATGGTACATCAGAGTTATCCTTCCAAAAATATCCATAAGGTTATGACTTTGTTAGCCGATCAAGACGCATTGGAGATTAACAAGGAAGATAGTATCGTCAAGAGTAGTCAGAGAAAAACTGGCAAGTCAGACTTAAATCAATTAATGTGGAAACTGCCGGGTCCGGATGAGAAAGAAAAGAGGGAAGAAGGAGGATTACTAGAGTGGTTCAGCAAAGTACCTGGAAGAGTCTTGGGTGTTACGGCAACGAAGGGCTACGTTGATAGCAACAAGATGAAGAACGAAGGATTGAAACAGCATCCGGAGCATCCGAATGGGCAGCAGGGTACCAACGAGATCAAGTTCAAGAACTGCAATCTCGAATTAAGCCAGCGAGAGGTCGACGAAGTGTTAGCGGTACTGCGAGCGAGAACACCGTCGGGACGTAGAAGAGCCACCGTTAAGAATGCGAGGAAACGCGGAGAACGATCCGAAAGGGGCAGTGATGACACGGCAAAATACACGGGTTGGGAGGAAGGAGTAGTTCAGAGTAATTCGATAAATCGCGTTGGAACAGTTCGAGTTCGTACACTTAAATCCTGCGAGGATTGTAGCCGTGGGTTGTGCAAGAAGATAGACCATCAGGTATCAGAAGAACAATCAAGCCCTCTAGATCGGGTCTATTACGACAAGAATGTTTATCGGCCTGCCCGCTCGAAACTTGCCGAAGGCACCAAGTTAAACGATGATTCGCAAGTGAAAACACACGCGAACGAGGATGCGGATCATTTGCGAAATGTTTCCACTAAAGCTGACGTGCTGCTCGGAGCCATTCTGCGGACCAGTAAGGACCGAAAGGACCTGTCGGATATTTCATCAAACGGGACCAGACCAAGGTCGACGACTAGCATTGACGACGACAGCAGCGACGACGATTCTCACTTTTCGAGCATCGAGAAGCTCGATCAGCAGGACCACAAAACCACCTCGTCTAATGACGAGAAATTTTTGCCGCTGAATAAGAGATTCCATCGGTTCCGACAGATGTTTAAGAAAGAAATGGATAAGAGGATCGCTTTGATATCGGAGGAGAGTTCCTCCTCGCAGGAGACCTCGCCGAGTCCGACGCTGCCGCAACGTCTCAATACAGCGTCGTTTCGCTATAACAACGAACAACCGAATCTACATAGCGCAAGGTACAGCAAAACTAAACGGCGAATCGACTTCACAAACTTCCCGGAGGCTACCGAGGAGAAAGAGGATGCTGCGACGTTCAGTACAAAAGACGCACATCAAAAGCCACGCAATATGCATAGTACAAATAATAATGATCGCGAATGCGATTCCGATGGCCTAAACAACCAGGAGAATCATTGCGACAGGCGGCTAATCGAAGATACGAAGGAACCTTTTGAGAATAAAGAGCAGGATGAGAATACGAAGGACATTGCTACTCTTCAGAAGAGCAATTTGACTACTCCAACTATTCCGCAAAGCGGACATTCGTCTTCCAAGCTACGAAACAACAATCACAAGGACAGTATCGCAGAGACGGGAGACGACGAAACTGTCGACAAGAGCGTGCCGTCCGCGCTCGAGCAGGAGAGATTCCGCCGATCCCTGGAAAACGCAGCGTCGATGGTATTCCATAGCAGGACTGGTTTGCCGTTGACCTCTAGTCCAGCGCCGTTGAGGAGAGGCAGCTGTTGCTTCGACTACGACAGCAGCTTGAATTCCGTTTCCTCTAAAAGAAAGTACGAAGTTCATGAGAAAACGATACAACAATTGAACGGCATCAATGAATAATATATTATAAAATTATAATTTTTTAGGTACAATGTTCTTTTTGAAAGTTTTTTTGTTTATGAGTTGTAGCAGAAACAAAATATAAGATACTTTTTCGAGATATATTACTAATAATATAAAAATGTACCTAAGATTAGAATTACAATAATTTTTATTGATGCCGTCAAGCCGATATCGACAAAAATTTTTCTCTAAACTTTGCGCATTTTTTTTAGCGCGTTGTTCGAATTAAATACACCGCCGAGTCCGGGCGCAGTCTCGCTGGAAGAAACCGATCGCGATGCGGAAACCGCCGGTGAAGGCGAGGAAACACCCAAAAGACGTTCCAGCTCCCGTCACCGACCACAGAGTCACGCTCTTCTAGGCAGCTTCGAGGAATCGGCGTTGAACGGTAGACTCGAACCGGTGTCCACGGTTCACGGTTTCACAGCGGAACTCGGGGCCAGCGGTTCCTTCTGCCCGAAACATCAGAAGCTTCCAGTCACTGTGTTCTTCTACACACTCGGTGACAACGATAAAGTTTCCACACCATACCTTGTACGTTTTCTCAAACAACAAATCAATTGCAATAGAGTGTCTTGAGAAGAGTTTACATTTTACAAAAAGTATAGTAAATTACCGATGACTAAATAATTTATTCGATAATGAGATATTACAGATTTCCTTCTTTTTTTTATCGTGACGATGATCCATTGTTCATGCTATTATTTTACAGGCTCATATTAATCTCGAGAAAAAGGGCTATCAGGTACCAAGAAGTGGCACCATTCAAGTGACTCTTCTGAATCCGTTGGGTACAGTCGTTAAGATGTTCGTAGTATTGTACGATCTTTCCGATATGCCGCCGCGATCTCATACTTTTTTACGTCAAAGGACACTGCGGGACAAAACACTACGCTACCTCGTTCACCTTAGGTATGTGTATTTCATTTGTAACTAAATGGCTTTAAAAATAGATCATACTATCAGTCAGGCCATCGAAAGCCAGTGTATAAATTCATATATTACAAAATACGCCAGTTGCAAATAAAGAATTGAAAAAATTGATATATGTTTAAGAAACATTTTACGGAATTCGACTTTTACGCAAAGGCGCCTTATATGCCAGGAATAGGTTTTAGAAATAAGCTTTGAAAGAAATAACAGATGCATGCATGAACTTTTCTTCTAGATTTATGTCCAGCAAATCGGGTCGAATTTATCTGCATACGGACATTCGTATGATCATCTGTCGGAAGTCGGACGTGGACACGGCGTCGGATTTGGGCTCGGAACCGCCGAAAGAACTCAGAAGTTACATCCACGGTCCTACAAATCCGAAATTTTCGCCAAGATGCTGAGCCACGTGGTATTTTCCATGGGGCTGCTGCCAATCGTTCCGCCCGCCCAGCCCCCTTCAAGTCGAACTGTGATCGATAAACGATCGAATAAGATATCAAATTAGAAATCAATTTTTGTTCTTTTAACCCTTTGCGCTTGACGATATAGACGATTACAATTCTTTTGTGCTAGTGTAAAAAAAAAACAATCTAAATGTTCTTATTAATTTATTAATTAATTTAATTTCTCACTGGCAAGTAGAAACAAGTTATTATGTTAATCGATTGTAATAATGTTAAGATGATAAATGTAGCTCTCAATATTACTACAAAACATTATTTCTTTCTAAATTATTTTAAATCGCGAAGGGTTAAGAGGGAATCGAGAATCGAAAAAACGCGAGAATACAGTGAGAAGAATTTGAAAGATTACGAATGGATTTAACCGTTCATGTTGGAACAATAATTTATACGTTTGCAATATTTTTTTCTCTCTCTCTCCTTTTCGCAAAATTAATAGTTCGGGCCTTTTGCGTTGTCCGGTACAGAATTAACTCTTGAATATTGACAATTCCAACACGAATGGTTTGTAAAATTGACTCGAAATTGCGATTATACTCCCGGTCTCATTTTAATCCGTGGTTTGTGCTTGCAGAACAGAATGCTGCATATAAATACAATAGGATAAGTTCGCGCAGTTTTTGTTTTAAATTTGTTTCTATATTATAATAATAGCGATATATATATTTATATATATATATTTATATAATTTGGAAAATTCTGTTAAATTAAACCGATTAGTCTTTCTAATTTCGATCTAGCGTGTAATAATCATGAAAATGGAAAATCAATCGACTCGAAACTCGCATTAGGAATTTATTTTGGATTTCTTTGTCCTGTGCATCTATTGTAATTATTGCTTTAGTGTTGGGTAACCATTTCATTTATGGAGTTTATCGCAAGCTGGACGATCTCGTTGAGAGGCCATTTTTCTCAACTTATTGCTGTAAATATAGTCACGCGTAGAGAGTAAGTTGAGTAAGAGTTTTTAAGCAGGATGATATATATATGTATGTATATGTATATATACATATATATGTACATATATATGTATACTGCCATTGTGTGTGTAGCACTCTACGTTTAAACGAAAAAAGTGATATGAGTGTGGAAAAACGTCGACGAATTCGGTTTCGCTTTCCGATGGAGCAAAATTGAGAAAGATCAAAACGTGTTGTGATTGAATGATATGTGCAATGAAAAGTACAAAGTTATTCGTGCATTACTTCATGTTTTTGCAGCGAATCGTTGTAATTTCTGACGAGGAGGTATAACCCGAGAAAAAGAAAATCAAAATTCTTTTTCCGGAAAACAAAATGTGATTTTTGTGATTTGCGTGATTGTGATTTGTTTCCTTTTTCTTCCTTGTGATTCGGGACGAACGCGAGCGAGTGAACGCGACCGAAATTCGTGGGTTTTTCCAGGGAGTAAAAAAAAATGATTATTTACATATATATATGTATATATACATAAACCAGAACACAATCTTTGTGTCCGTAGCACTGTGATGAATATTTTGATAGACTATAAAAAAAAAGAGTAATTATTATTACAGATTAATAACTATTTCTGGATAGCAGACACGTCATAGATTTAATCGATTCTATTAATACGTCGTGCGAGGAAATATAATCGTGCGTAATTTACTAACTAGCCGCAAGATGATGATACGCCCTTGATATGCCTGTTTTAAAGCAAACGAACGTGACAAAAAAAATTCGCGTTTTCCTTTATTTTTCTAAAAATGCTTCACGTAAATTGCGCTGGAGAATTACGCGAACAATTGGGAAGGCCTTGTCTTTGATCTTTCACCAGCGAATACTTTGATCTATGATTTATGATCAAGTCCTTCTTTTTTCTTCTTCATGAAACAGTTTAACTTAACTGGTTCATGAAGGAAAGAAAATGCATATCTACGAACACAGTCTTTCTGCATAGGGAGATTTTTAATTGTATGTCAATACATCAGCAGTAGAATCTAGAGAAGTAAATAAAAAATATTAATTTTTTATAAGCTTACTCAACATAAACTTTTATGAAGGGAGATAACATATTATTAATATTCAATATTGCAGTTTATAAAAATTTAAAATCTTTATAAAGTTGTATATAGATATGATTCTATTGCTTTATATACTTGTAAATGATTTTATTGCTTTATACTTGAAATGTTCATGTCATGAATCTACTGATCAGTGAATGTTTTAGTTGTATAATTTTAATCGAACCGAGTTTCGCACAGTTAAAGTGTCGAAAGCAAAAGAACAAGGCTTCGTTATCGTTCGCGTCTTTCTCACCACGAGTTAGAAGAAGGTAGCTTTCACTCCTTCAAAAATAAATTAACTTTGTAGAATATCGCGGTATGTATAAAAGTCGCTGTACGTATAAAGAGAGATTATTTTTAATTGTTATTTTTTAGCGGAGTAATTGGATAATCGTATATATAACAATCAAAAAAAAGTATAATAATGGCACATTTAATTTTGGTAAAAAAGAAACGAATGTCGATATTCGCGCTCCCGTCTGATTTTATATTTATTTCGTCTTGGTCTACTTTTTTTTTAGAGAAACGTATAACTCTCCTTATAAGCGATTTTAAACATTTAATCGAATTCTTTATTTTTCTTTCAAGTGTATACCGAAATTTTTCACGAAGATGTTTGAAAGTTTTAGATACAATATTTTAAAATTTTTATCTTTCTCCGAGAAACTTTTTACGATTAAAATTTTCTTTTTTTTTTCAAACAGACGTTGTGACATGAAGATTGATGTAATTTACGCGCTTACATTCGTAAAACCAATAATAAATGAAAGAGATAAATCTCGATTCCTTTTCCACTTGGACAATTGTGTGTAAATTAACTTCGTCAATTATTTCCGATTGTAATGAAACACGAATTTGCAACAATCAAATTATTTTCCGCATATTTTTTTTTATCGAGGCTGAAAACATCGTGTATTCCGATAGGCTGACGTGACGGTGAAAATTAAATTCGTGCACCACTTTTCCGCCAGATCGATTAGCTAGATACGCGTCTTTTGAACGGTGAGAACTCGAGGACATTGTACAGAACGATAGCGAGAGCGCGTGCGCCTCTTGTTTTAACGACTATAACCGTTGTTAAATACATTTTGTCGATGTTTTCTTTTTTGAGAAATAAAGTAGAGTGTCGAGACGATAATTATTATGATAAATCGATCGTTGAAGTTTATTCGAGGGACAAATCCTAACTCGGATCCGTAGATAAAATTGCAAGCGGCAGAGTAGAGCATAGAGTGAAAATGGCAAGGATATGTAAATATATAAATATATATCACTGCCGTGTTCTCGTTGTATATAATTTACATAGGGTGGCGTAAAAAAAAAGCACCCCGACGGTCCTTGCGTAAAGAGTTTCGATTAGCGATAAAGTAACAGTGAGTGTTGTTGCGCTTTAGCAAAATAATGAAGCGACTCTTTGAGTACAACATTTGTCGCTTCGACAAAACTCGTTATCGTGGCATCGACTCGGGCTGACCCGGGCCAAGATCCACCATCTTTTCTTGCGCCACCCAGCAACACTGGCGACCGCGTCTTACGGCGATTGTAACCGATTTTAGCTGTATTTTTCCGGCTTGGTCGAGAAATCTTGTTAGCGAAGTTTACCGAGAAGTAAGCAAATACATCAAACGATATGTGCATTGGAGGAGGTGGAGTGTATGAAACCCCCGGCCTTATCCAGACGCAGGTCCAACATCATTCCTCTTGAAACACGTTTCTTCTCCGTACTCCTTTCATAGATTAGAATTCTACCTGCGATTTAAGCGGAGACGGATTGAAACCAAACATAAGACTTTGCTTCGCCAGTAAATGACTAACAATAATGATGTATAATTATCATATTATACTTTCATGACTTGGACACACACTTTTGGTAAGGACCAAAATTCGTGATAGAAACGTCATGATAATTATATTGAATAAAGATAACCAGTTTGGTCGAATATAATAGATCATTATTGGAGACGGATTGAGTTCAGAAACTCGGGTAAAACGTAAAAGTCGTTAGGGAAAGGTGATTGCCAAATAAACAATTTAATAAATAATATATACATATAATTTTATGCGTGCGCTCTCACTTTACTATAGAGATAATTTCCACACGTATGCACAATTCAAATGAAAGACCTCTCGCTTCGGAAAATGACAGCGGAGAAAAACGTTGTGGAAATACGTAATTAACGTAATAGCATTTTTATGACAATGCCCTTTTCATCTACAAAGCGCTATTGTTTGCTTTTTCAAAATAGACAAACTCCTCTTTACCGACCGGGCGCCGAATTAGTTGGCAAAAAAATCCGCTAGGGGTCAGGCGCGTCGCGGCGACAATCGAGACTGTCGAGAGGTGCGTCCCGAGTCCCGAGAACTCCGAGTCTCTCGTGGCTTTCTCCAGGCCGCGAGATCGGATTGTTCGAGCCGCGAGAAGCCTGGCTTGCGGGTGCGACGCGAATAGTTGGAACGTCAGACGTGAGGACACGCAATCCTGCTCGATTCGTCACGTTCTCGCGGCGTGCGTGGGTGGCGGACGATGAGAAGACCGGAGTCGGCAGGTCGGAGGCCCTGAAGTACCAGCGTCGTCGTCGTCGTCCTCGTCGCCGATCCCGCGGGCCCCGTCGACGGGAATTGGGCGTGTGCGGTGTGTCTCGCATACGAGGCGGACACGGCGGATCTCGTCCGTCGGTGGGCAGTGCGTGTGTGCGCGCGCGCATGCGAGAACGGACGGGCATTAACGGTGGGCCTTTTTGACGGATCTCCGTGACCGCTGCTTGCAATGGCGACGGCGCCTGTCGACTCGCCTACTTTCTAAGCTCTATCGAGGTGAGAGGCCGTTCGGGCGTGCGTGCGTGATCGCGCGCGCGCGCGCGTGCGAGCGAACGCACGCGGGTGTTCTGTCGCCGCGTTCCTCCCCGTCGGGGTCGTTGATAAAAAAAAACACGTTGCCAGAAATAAAAAGGGTCCAACAACGTCCGGTGTGCCCTCCTCCTTCTCGATAATCCGGAGACGCGGGACAAGACGCGTCGTCGTCGTCGTTCGCCCGTGGCGATGCGGCGGTCGGTCCGCTGGTGCAGTCGCGCGTCGTCGTCGTCGCAGGGGACATCCGGGATACCCGGAGAATGCGCGGAATCGTCACGCCGCCGCTCCACCGCGCGGATGTGATCCTTCCGGCACGGCACTTCGCTTCCTCCCGCGATATCCAGCCGACGACGGTCCCGCCCGTTCCGCGCTCCTTTGATCCGCCGTCCTCCGGACGGCGACACAGCTGACGGAACCCGCGTTCGATTCCGGAGTTCGATCCTCGGGGGTGGTGCCGCGTGTGGACCCCTCCGCGTCCGCCCCCCCTTTTACCGATCCAGGTAACGAACCGCGTGAACGATTGATCGGAATTAACGCGTATGACTCGTTCTTGATCTTTCGACGCCCACGCATCCGGCGCGGTCGCTACCGCTCAACAGTTGTGTGAGTTTAAATGTACCCGGTGCCACTGTTGATCCAGTGAACAGAGTGGTGCGTTAAATGCGAGGTGGAGGCGCGACAACGCCAGCCAGCGTGGACAACGGCAGCGCGACGCCGACGCGACGTTTCGAGGACGTTTTGAGAGAATCGTAGACGCGCGCGCGCCCGCACGGCCGAGACATGGGGAACTGCTTCAGCAACCCGACGGACGTGGAGAAGGAGAAGCCGGACCGGATCGGCAATCCCAGCATCGAGGCGGTCGCGTCGCAGGTCAGCCCGGTGCCGACGCCGCCGCCGGATCCGATCAGGCCGATCCCGCAGATCCCGGACATGGACGTAGCGACGGCGAAGATATTCGTCGCCCTGTACGATTACGACGCGCGCACGGACGAGGACTTGAGCTTCAAGAAGGGGGAACACCTGGAGATAATCAACGACACCCAGGGCGACTGGTGGCTGGCCAGGAGTAAAAGGACCAGGCAGGAGGGCTACATCCCCAGCAATTACGTCGCCAAGTTGAAGTCGATCGAGGCGGAACCGTGAGTGGTTTTGATCATTTTCAATCGTTCTAGACGATAATCTCGATCTCTGTAACCGAAGCCACGATTCACGATAAAGTAATTGTATCGTGACGCGGAATATTAACGATTTATTATAGCCGGCAGACAGACTGGTGAGTCCCTAGTCCGCTAAATAATGTCGCGGAGGTTTGATTCACGGCAAAGAATCTTTAGCCGTTGATAGGTGGAAGGGCGAATCTCTGTTGAAAGCTGATAACGCTAATTTGCATTTACAGATGGTATTTCAGGAAGATTAAGCGAATCGAGGCTGAGAAAAAATTGCTCCTGCCGGAAAACGATCACGGCGCGTTTCTGATAAGAGACTCCGAGAGCCGGCACAATGACTACTCCCTTTCAGGTAACGTCATAGAAACGATAATAGAAACTACCGGTCGTGCTCGTAATCCCGACAGTTGCGATAACAAATAAATGAATAATGATCCGGGCGGAGATCGCGCGGAGTAGCGTGCGATCTATACGCGCGATTGCGAGACGGTTGGAGGCGCCGAAGTGGAGTGTATGTATGTTCGATGATTGTTGTAGTGCGCGACGGCGATACGGTGAAGCATTATCGTATTCGTCAATTGGACGAGGGTGGCTTTTTCATCGCCAGGCGAACCACGTTCAGAAATCTGCAGGATCTTGTGGAGCACTACAGCAAAGACGCGGACGGCCTGTGCGTTAATCTGTGCAAGCCTTGTGTACAGGTAAGCTCCACGAGTGACCGATACGATTCAGCTTCTCGGTATAATAACAATGATACTTGATAGGTAGATGATAATCGTTGTACTACCACTCGCTGCTGCTAACGGTCGTATAAGAATCGCGAATTGATGAGAAATTGAGAATTGACGAGAGAGAATTTGGACAGAGATTCGTCTAAATAAATAAAAACGTCGCACTTAACGCGCCGTCGTACGTCATTGTGGCAACAAAGTTTCATTTATCGCTGAGTTAGGCAGGTCTTTATCGATAATGAAACGATACGTACGGGGGATTTACGCGATAATATTACACATAATGAAAACGCATTTTACTTATCTCGTCGAATGAGACAGTTTTCAGCGGAAGTTTGTTGGTATTTAAATGCGGAGATACATTAGACACAGACGATTCTCAATTGGAACGCGCGATGAAAAAGGAGCGATTATAAATAATAGAAATTTCTTTAAAAATACACACACATATACCCACGCAACAAATTGTAGCGGAAGTCAATTGAGATCATATCGATGAATTAATAAATCGGCTTTTTATATATTTATTTTCTATCGATGTCGTATAACACTGTGTCTAAACTCCAACACTTTTGCAACGACGCGATCGATACGCTTGATACGCTTGATTATTCGCCCTGATTATGACAATAGTAACAATCTCGACCAACAGTATATCACACTGTTATATTATTTAATAGAATATATTATTATTGTTAATATATTAACAAGATTAATATATTTTTTAAATTATTTTTGTTAGTTATTACCTCTGTTATTTCGTTATTGTAAGCGTTATTGTTACTGGTGCGTAATACCTTGGATCGTCGAGATATCGTTCTGGATACACAGAACATTTAACAACATATCAATTACATCGATTACACCCGCAATTTTCTGATTCAGTTTTTTTTTTATTCTTGGAAAGTCGCGAGTAGGGAGACCCGCGCGGGTAAATGAAACTTGACACAGCAAACGAGGTATATTTACGTCTACATTACATATTGAAAAAGAAAGAGATATCAGTTTTTTAGAAGCATTGATAAGCACTTATTGCGAAGTTCGATGTCTGAATAGATTGTGTTTGTTTGTCTGTTTATTGCTTGCCCTACCTCCCGGTGGATTTTCTTGGTAAATTGAATGTCCTAATATACGCCATAAACACGTTCTTTCGATTCCTTTCTTTTTCTCGACGTAAAACGCTTTTACATTTTATTGTATCTGGCCTGTACATACAGCACAAGCCCGTTCTATATGGGATTATGTTTCAGAAGCAGTAGATTGTCATTCACTTAGAGATATCTCGTATAAAGAAGCTCTGTACATTCGATGTAATTTTATATTTACAACAACTTATCTCATACATCAATTCATTTAGCATCGTAGACCTCGCGCGAGAGGTGTAACATACATATAGGTAAATATTAAGAATCGAGATTGGCAGCACACACAAAGGAAACGACATTTTTTTCGTTTCACCGCGAAATACCGCTCTTCCTTGTGAATAACAATGTTCGAACTCTTTTCATATACATATATCTATATGTATATGTATATGTAAGTTCATATAAGTATTGAAACGCGAAAGCGAGAATCAGCTCGAATGTATGTGTGCTCGAGATCTGTCTACATACAGGATGTCCCAAAAGCGTTCCTACATACATGTCTCATCCGTTATTCGAGAGGCGAACGAGCGTAAACGAGCGTATGTGCATGTTGTTCCGTTCAGATCGTACATGTACGCGTATACAGAGTATTTCTGAGACTCGCGGCATGTCTTTTTTCCTAGCTGCGACATAGTGCGACATATTTGAGACATTCTGCATATTGTATCGCTCATTATTTCATTTTCCTCTTCGTCTTTCTCCTCGTTTTTCTAAAATGCATATTTGTTGGAACGATCGCGCGATCATGTTTACCGTCCGGGATCGTTATTGGGGTTCTTACACGATTGCAGGACACGGAGAAAAGTAGGTTTGTATTCGCGAACAGGGAAGTTGAGCGCTAGCACTCTTTTTTTTACAGTGCATAGAATATTATCTTTCACGCTTAGCTATAGAATTTTTTCTCATAAAAGAAGACGAAACGAAATATAGCTCGCCATTAATGCAGCCGATCAAACACGAACTCCTTCCCTGCACAAAATCAAACCTCGCGAGTCTGTCCCCTTACCGACGACGGCTGATTCCGGGTCTGACTTTGTTCAACAGGTTGAGAAACCCGTAACGGAGGGCCTTAGTCACCGTACGCGGGACCAATGGGAAATCGATCGTTCGTCACTGAAATTCTTGAGGAAATTGGGACAGGGTCAATTCGGCGAGGTATGGGAAGGCCTGTGGAACAACACTACGCCGGTGGCGATTAAGACGCTCAAGCCGGGCACCATGGACCCGAAGGACTTCCTCGCCGAGGCGCAAATCATGAAGAAACTCCGACACGCCAAGCTAATTCAATTGTACGCTGTGTGCACGATGGAGGAACCGATTTATATCATCACAGAATTGATGAGGAACGGCAGTTTACTGGAATATTTACAAGGTATGCAAGGTATGGTTTGATTTTGACTGGCCCTTTCATATCACATTGTGTGATATGAAAAAAAATTAAATTCGCTCCTTAAATTTAAATAATCAAAGAATATTTTTTAAAATAATTTTGTACAAAAATATTTGCTAGTGTTTTAAATTAAAGGATTGACCGATATTTCTAATTATTATTTCTAATTTTTTTTCAATTATATTGTCAACACTTTTTAACACTTTATTGTCTAATGTTCTTGCTAAGAATCTAAAGACTTAGGAGCTCTACTCCAAAAAGTTACCATTTCTCTGCCACTCAAAAGAACAAATATATTTTTTGATCGAATCTAGTTGCATATTTTACTTGCTCATTAATTTTTCAAGGTGCCATCCCGAAATACTACTACAAAATCGATAAAGCTAGTATTTCTGCAGTCGTATCTTTTCGTTACCGGTATCGTTGTAGCAATCATGTATAATCTTTTAGGAAAAGGTAGAGGCCTAAAATTGCAACAACTGATCGACATGGCCGCGCAAATAGCCGCCGGTATGGCGTACTTAGAATCGCAGAATTACATTCATCGAGACTTGGCCGCCCGTAACGTTCTCGTAGCAGACGGAAATGTCGTTAAAATCGCAGACTTCGGCTTGGCTAGGCTTATCAAAGAGGACGAATACGAGGCTAGAATAGGGGCGCGTTTCCCTATCAAGTGGACCGCCCCCGAAGCTGCCAACTACAGCAAATTCAGTATTAAATCCGACGTATGGTCGTTTGGCATCCTTCTTACCGAATTGGTCACGTACGGCAGAATACCTTATCCAGGTAAGATTGTGAAAACAAAAATTATCCTGTACCGTTATTATATTCAACTTTTCAATTTTTAAATAAAGTCGCATAAACGTTTTTAACATAAGGTCTACGGATTAAGGTAAAATGTAAACGCATTCTTCTTCTCAGGTATGACGAACGCCGAGGTTCTTCATCAGGTGGAACATGGCTATAGAATGCCGTGTCCACCCGGCTGTCCCGACACGCTTTATAATATCATGCTGGAATGCTGGAACAAGGATCCTATGAAGAGACCAACTTTTGAGACACTTCAGTGGAAACTCGAGGACTTCTTTACTATGGAAGGTTCCGAGTACAAGGAAGCGTCTGCGTATTGAAAATAGAAGGTTTTGAACTCTTCTTCCACATTGCTCCATTAAGAGGTACGATTACCGTCAACGTCGATCGTTACGGTCTTCTCCATTGATCTATTTGTGACGCTAGTTTTCGCGGTACTTCTAAAAGAGTGCCGTAATTTTTATACTCGAACGACCATGATCACTTTGCAAACGATCAGTAGATAATAGCATAGTTTTAATAAACGATCAAGTTTTCTTGTTTTCTCTTTCTCTCTATTTTTCTTTTCTTTTTTTTTACGTTCTCGTCATCGCACATTCTGTCTGCCATAAATCTCAAAGAATGATATTTGTACATTTTTATCTATATGACTTGACAAACGTACATTGGCATTTTGATAGCTTTACCAGAAGCGGCGAGGTTTTAGATATCGTTTTAGACCGCAGTAAGGATGTTGTACACGTAGACGTTAAATGGCCTTTGTAAAATCTATAAGTGTCAGTTAGTGTGAGGTAGACCTCGATCATCAGGGTGATAATTCCGGGTGATGATGATGGTAGTAGTAGCGATGTAATATATTCGTGTACAATATATAAGTTGTACTTCCTGTATTACAATTCCCGTATACATTATATGGTGCGATAAAGAGTCGATTACTTGATAAAACCGAAACCCGACAACGTTAGAGACGAAACGACGGACCATAGATGCACAACTTTATCATTCCTTCGTTCTTCTCGCTCGAGCGTGACACGAATTAATTACGACGTACTCCCGCGAGGCGGATACACGAAAGTCGTCGACGAAACGATTTCGTGCGGGCGCGCGCGCCGTATGCATGCATGTACGAAGATCGGGGGATATATAACCGGTCCGTCCAAGACAACGCGGAAGACTGTGTCCTGTGACGACTGCGTCGAGCGACGTTATATCCTATTCGTCTATTTGTCAAGAAGCGCGGTAAATACTGACACAAACTGCCAGCTAACGTTTTCTAAGGTACACTTGTTACTTATAACGTGTAAGATTACTATTTGGAAGTATACGCGTGAGAGTATGCGTCTGTCGAATATCTATGCATGAGAAATGTACGAATTTGCTTTGGAGGCGAGAAATCAGTTTACTGTCGTATCTTTAAGTGCTCTGACAAGAGAAGACTCCCAAGTGTAAATCACATAAAAATGCCGAAAATTTTAAATCTCTTTCTGCAAATTGTTATATACTTTAATATCTTTATCATGTTGAATTTAGCCGTTATCCATCCTGCGCCACGTGTAGGCATCACAATTGTGCATTGCTATGTTACATTAGATTTGATTAAATTCTCGAACTTTAATTGTGTGTGTGTTTGTGTCTCAAATTCAATGTATTAGATCAGATGCGATCTATGTATAGGAATTTATTTATTATTTTATTATTATTTGTAAATTTTTATTACGGATTTTTCTTCTATATTTTGATATACACTGTCAGTACAGAAAATCTGTATGACAAGAACCATACATTTTCAGTGCATTTCGGAAGGTAGACTTTAAATTCATGTCCGTCATATCGGTTCCACTCTTTTTAACGATATAATTCACAAATTTCGAATTTACTCAAAATGTTAATACAAACAGAAAAACTAAACAACATTTTGTTAGAAAAGCAAGACATTGACAAAATAATACACGGCCAATGATCTGTAAAATTTGGCTATATTTGATATTTATGTTTATATTGAGCTTGAAAATGGTAAATTTCACTTTTTGGTTATCCAAATAATAGGGCAGCAATCACGTAACTTTTTCCCTAGGTTGGAAACATAAAAAGTGAAAATTTTCACCTGAACTCGTGATCATGTAACTTGATGAAACGTGGAAACGTGATCTCGTGAATAATAAAAAAGTTCATGCAGAATAGATACAGCGAAAAGTGAAAAATGAAAAGTTTTACGTGAAATTATGTGATCGATCCCTTAATCTGTATAGGTTTGGCATTATTATTCGATTTACGCACTTGGCAGCCTTCCCTTGTGAGAGGAGAATGTATACATCACGAATTACGTCATCTTCGTTAATCATCATTCGGACATGTTCATGTTATCGAATTCATCATTTTTATATATTTTTATATATCGTGTCTAATGTTTTATTATACTCATTTATCGCGACTTTTCACGTTTGTGAATGACTCAAACATGAGAATAATTATTACTACGCGTAAAAAATAAAATAAGTCGATAATATTAGACATACTTTATAAATGTATGACTCCATAACGGTAAATGATGTAAAATTATATAGATATTTTAGCAATATTTTGAACTTGTTTAATACATATGCGCAAATATGTACGGAATGTGCCAAAACCATCGCCATTCCTTTTGTCTACTGATTCTCCTATGAATTTAGAATCGATTTTTCCACGATCGAAATAACACTGAAGGCTATCTTCCAAACAATTTGAGCAATCTTTTTAGATTTAAGTGTTTTAATGCTAAAACGACTCGGAATAATTTCATTATTTTAATGTTGAAAGACTTCTTTGGAAAGATCGACTCTAATTTCGTCAGAAAATAAGCCCCGGGGATTTGATGCAAATCGTACAAAACATCTCGATATACATACATACGGGTGTATATATATGCGTATGTATGTACACACAATATGAACTCTAGCATCCATCTTCTGTTCTGAAATCAGAGCTGTGTTAATAGTACCAAATTAATCACAAATTTCAAAGAAATGCGTGCTTACGGACAGTATCATCGTCGGATAAATCTGCACGGTAAATCTTTGTAATACCGTTATTCCTTAGATTAACGACACATCGACCAACTTCCCGTAAGAAGTACTATTTCTTTCATTTAAGTCTTATAGGTTTTCCTGAAAAATTTTAATTTAGTAAACGAAAAACGTTATTTATAAAAGAAACTGTTAAAATGAGTAATTTCATATTTTAAAGCGGAGAAATTTATTAAATTGTATGCATGAAATCTGTTGAAGATTATAAGTTTTGACAACATTGCACTAAGAAATATATAAGATAAAAATATTATCAACTATATATAATAATAATAATGAAATGTAATGCAACGATTACAAGCACAAAAAGGATGAAAGTTTACTGGAACTACTGTTAATTTTTATCCAGACAAACTCTTTTTCTGTAATTAGAGTGGAAAATGATTTCTTTATCGAATAATTATATAATAGGAATCTATGGCGAGTGAAAATAAAAATACTTTAGATGTATAAGAAATAATTGATAAAATAAACGCAACAGTTTTGTTTATGAAAATGAGATGATTATTGATCTCCCTGCCGATTATGTTTTCCTGATACTTTTTCCATTTTTCAGGGTTCAAATCTCGGAAATTGAGATAATAGGAATTCTTAGAAATTTGGAAAAATTTTTAGAATTTCAGATAGCGCATGAAGGAAAAATGCCCAGTGACGTTCGGATCGCCGAGAAAACTAAAACAGCTAAAATTGCCACCTGTTTTTTAACTAAAAAACTAAAACAGCTAAAATTGCCGCTTATCTCGCAGATGTAAAAAAAAGAAATCCACAAAGAGAAACGCCGTTGATATCTCTGTGTCTCCTTGAGGATTTCCTTCTCGTACCGCGCATAAGTGATTTGTGAGGGCCGAGAGTTTAGCGCAATAGCGAGCTCGCAAGAGAAATTAATGTAAATCGGTAAAAGAATAAAAAAAGAAAAGAGGTATAAGAGAGCAGGAATATATGGTCAACTCGATGAACTTTATTTGCAAAATATTGATAGGAATATAAGGTGTGACACGTGACACCTTATTTATCATTGTCTGATTTGATGATATTTTGTTAAGTCTGAACAGTCCAGTTGTTAGGTTCTTATTAATCCTACAGCAACTTCTTATGGCGTATTTTCTCTGTATATTGTCAATGTTTATTATTAAATATTTTTCAAATAAATCAACGCGTTCTTCTTTCCTACCTTCATATCCAGACAATTGCGCAAAGATTCGTCATCGTGTTCAAAGTCTTATTAAAAGCTTGATTAGATTTAGATTTGATAGATATTTCAACTAGAAATCCAGGGGTTGCGTTATATATATAAATACCACGAAACTTACGAAAATATCGTCCAAATTAGTTCATGTCCACTTAACGAGCACTTGCTTTTTCAAAATTTTCGTAATATTAATGACTTCAGATTTGTACTCGCGTTCTTTTTATGTATCTAAGTTCTAAGTGCGAAATAAGGAAAAAACCTAATACGGATTTAAAATATAATTTTTAAAAATTGGAATCACATATTGGAACACGATGACGGAATAATCACTAGTGACTAAGTGATCAAATAAGTCTAACAACATGATCTAAAAACGTTTATTTTAACATTGTTATGTGTCCGTTAATGCAAATCATGCTCTCTCAAACGAGATTTGACAATAAAAAGTTTTAAAATGCATACGTTTTACATTTCAGTATGCGAAACCTTCTGCCGCATTTTGCGTTTGCATAAATTATTCAAAAGAACATAATTAATAACTATATTAATAATTAGATTAATAGAATAATGTAATCTAAAATAATTTAAGACAATAAAAATTAATAGAAGAATTAATTCGGATGATAAAGTAGGCGAAA